TCTCACAAGCCCTACCTGTCACATGTCCTATCTGTCACATGTCCTATTTGTCACAGTTCCTATCTCTCACAGGTCCTATCTCTCACAGGTCCTGTCTCTCAGCGGTCCTTTCTCTCACAGGTCCTATGACTCATAGGCCCTAATTCTTACAGGACCTATCTGTCACAGGTCCTATCTCTCCTCACAGGTCCTATTGTTCACAGATCCTATCTTTCACAGGTCCTATCTCTCACAGGTCCTATCTCTCACAGGTCCTATCTCTCACTGGTCCTGTCTCTCAGCGGTCTTGTCTCTCACAGTTCCTATGACTCATAGGCCCTAACTTTCACAGGTCCTATCTGTCACAGGTCCTATCTGTCACAGGTCCTATCTGTCACAGGTCCTATCTGTCACAGTTCCTATCTGTCACAGTTCCTATCTGTCACAGGTCCTTTCCATCACAGTTTCTTTCTCTCACAGGTCCTCTCGTGGCTCCTGTTCATCGGAACATTGTCGTATGTGAAGGTGATGGTGGGTGTTATCCTGAGAGATCGGAGCCACAGCGCCTTGGTCTGGTGTGGAGCTGCAGCACAGGTGGGTTCCCTCCTTGGCTCCGTCACCATGTTCCCGCTGGTCAACGTCTACCAGTTCTTTGAGTCCGGAGACTTGTGCAACTCTCAGTGTCCTTCATGACGCCCTGCCGAGACCTGCAGAAACTACGACAGCTGGAGACTCACATCTGGAGCAACACGTCTGTTGATTTTTTTCTCTGCCGAACATTAAATAAAAGATAGAAACATCATTTTAAGTTACCTACAGACAGGACACAAAGAGGCAGAGAACATTCACTCATAAAATCTGCATTTGATTTGAGAGCAAACAGCAGAAATTGAATCTTTTCTGCGTGAGTGGCAGCTGGTGCTCCTCTCAAAGTCATAAAGACCAGTTGAAAAACTTTCTAAAGGAATGAACATCTGCAGAATACTCTGATATATATGTATATATGTATATACTCTATATACTCTGATCTATATGCTCTGCAGAATACTTTGATCAAATGCTTTGTGTACTAAAATGAAGTCTGTAAGCAGAATTAGTGACTGAATGGAAACTACAATCGGTGGTTGTTTTCCTGCTGAAATGGCCAAAGTGACTGAATTCCTCTTTAAGAAGTAAAACATTTATATATATTTGTACTAAAAATACTGTATAGAAAATCCACATGAATTTGTTTAACAAACATGTGACTGAGTGAAAAATGACGTGACCACATTTTATAAACATGTTCAAAATGTTGTAAAATCACACAAGAAACAAAAAACACGCCTCACATGTTAATTACCAGTTCTTTTATTATTAAATATATAAAAAAAAAGATTAGAAGGGTGATAATGCTGTTGCCTGTTTATTTGTGCTTGCTTGTTAGCTAAATATCTCATATATGATAAATATGTGAAGAAGTAGTGCTCGAGGTTTTCAATGAAACTGTCAGAAAATCTTCAATTAACATTTAACTCGTTAACTTTTGAAGTAAATGTTAGTAAAATGGCTGCCACAGCTAATCAGCTTTAGTAAACAAAAATATGTCTGTAGCTGTTAATTTCACACATAATGGGCTAAACTTTGTTGTGGTAGTAACTTAGAGTCATCTCCAAAACATCATGGAAAAGGTTATTTTAAACGCTGGAAGAACTCCATCGAGAGTAATCTGAAAATGTTTTTTTTTACATGTTTTGAATGAAAAGTGTTTTTTTATTCTCCTTTTTATGTTTATGAAGTGATTAAAAACAGCTGTTCTGTCTAAGCTGACGGTTTCTATGATTTTGATTTGACAAACATGAAACAATCAGTTTTAACATCCAATAATGCTCAGTCAGGTCATTTGGACAGTTTCTCTTTTCCAGAGACACGTGGAGTCTTTTAAGACACGTCTAAATTATTCACTTCACATATTTATAAGATTTTTCTCAGGACCGTTTGTCAGTTTTCTAGTATACCTTGTTCCAAAAGGAGTGAATTACACCAAAATAAAATAAAATAAAATAAAAGAGTCGACTTTTTCTGGCCAGTAGATGTCACAAGCACTCTTTTAATGGTCTGAAAGCTGCAGGAACTGGACCCCACTGGAACACACTGATTTGTGGGTCCAACAGTTTTACATTCAAACAATTAAATGATTAATCCAGTTTAAAGATGTTTCACAGCCTGATTAAATCAGTGGTGCTACTCTACAGCTTTGATAAGAACTGTGATCATTTAACTGCACTTCAGAGAGAAGCCTTCAGAAAAAAACGCCATTAATGCTCCATATTTAAACTTCTTTGAGTAAAATGGTAAAAACTAGTGAATCAGAAAGAGTCTACATCAAGATAATTAACATGCATCAGTTGTTTTAGTTCATCATCTAATGCCTCATTGGCTTCATCTTTCCACCGTCACTGTGTTTTTGATGGACCCAAGGTTTAATAAACGTCTGGTCATCGCCTTCAGAGACGCTGCAGCTCGTCCTCTGAGAGGGACGGAGGCTCGTCCTGGGAACTGACGCATGTTTTCCTGTCAGCTTCTGTTCCCCCTCGCTGCCCTTCAGAAGAACACACGATGGTTCCCTGACCCAGGTCAGTGGGGACGCACGGGGACAAGGGGGAGCACGGGGGAGCACAGGGGTCCCTAATTACTGAGGCTCAGCGGGGGCCGATGGCTGTTGCTCCTGCCGCAGGTCACTTGGGAGCTTTCCTGACCCCGACACTGAGTAAAAACAAAAAGGAGGAAAAACGTGGGCCCGCAGTTGGCCCTCTGCAGCCTCCGGGGCCCCGGATCAGCGGAGAAGCCCAGATGGGATGCTGAATCCACATTGCAGCGCGTATGAATCGTGTAAAAATCTCTGCACACACTTGCTGATTCAAGCAGAATAAGTGTGTCAGAAACCATAATTAGCTGAAACGGACGTTTTATTTAGCCTCAGAATGGATCATCTGAGCAGGAAGCCGGCCCCAACAGTGTTTGTGCTCTTCTGCAGTGAACATGACCTTGAATGCTCGTAAGCAATCAAAAGGATTCTCTCTACGCTTGATTAGTTAAATTCCTTGATTGGCTCTGGGCTTTTGTGTTGAGGCACAACAAAGCAGGAAAAGAAAAGTGTATCATTTTCCTTCGAGTGTCAGATGGCCCCCTCGCTCCTCCAGCTGGTCAGGAGGGGCCACGGCCACCTGGATGCTGTCTCGGTCCTGTGAGATCCTGCAGTCTCCTCTGCCATGTGAAAACTCCACTTACTAGGGCGCTGAGAAGTCCATCTGCTCAGGTCGGCACCTCCCTGAGAGTCCCCCCCCCCCCCCCCACCATCAAACACCAACACAGAGCCCCCTCCACCCTCCCATCCTTCCAGCAGTCACTGTGCCGCTCAACAAAATGAGCAGCCTGTGAATGGAAGGAGGATTTACTCTTCCTTTAGCTGGAGAAGAGAATGAATTCACGGCGTCGATGATTGGAGGAACCCGCCTGCTCTCCTGCTGAATCCACAGATATGTCACCTGTGTCGGACTCTGCACAACTTTGGTTTTCTGAAGCACAAATACAGAGTTCACCGAGGAGCACGTCAGCCTTTAATGGGACGACGGTTGAAAGCATGGAGTGTGAACAGTTTGAGGTCTAAAATAGGAAAGAGCTGTGGAAATGTGCTCGGGTGTGCCCGGAGGCCGGCAGATTCTGGCAGCTGATGGGCAGGTGAACAGCTTGTGGGTAAACCAACTGCTGATGCATGCAGACAGGCCCGGCTCTGACAGCACCTCACCGCCTCGCTCCCATCCGTTTCCACACACACTAATAAATGTCGTCCGTTTATTTGAAATTAGACGTGACAGCCCTGTGCCGTTTCAGTGTGGCGTCTCGGAGCAGACAGTGATGCTCCTCGTTTTCCATCAGCAGGTACTGATGTTGCTTTAATGAAGTGAAGCACTCCACCCTGGAAGAGACAAGTCTGTCAGCATATGTAAATGCTTCCTGCCTGTCATTGTTGTGGAGGGTTCAGCATGGGTCAGCATGGATCCCCCCTCTGGGAACCCTTTGTTCTGGGGCCCGACTGTGCCACATGAGGGGACCAATTACAGAGCTGCACAGCGGGACGGGGGTGCAAACTTGTTACCCTGCTGCAGTGAGCTAATTATTACCTCAGCACTGTGGGTAGTATAAAGCTTTGTATCAGGAGCAGTGCTGGTACACAACAACACAGTCTGTGAATATATTCAGACTGAAAGCATCATCAAAGTTCAGGAAGGGATAATTTTAATTTTCCAGCCATAAATAACTAAAGAGCTACTTAAATCCCAGCAGAGATCTCTGCTTTGTCAGAGCAAGCACAATCTACAGGCAGCACACAGCCAACCTCATAACCTTGATTTGGTGTCAAGAAGTGATTTATGAAAATGCATCCTGCTCTCTTTGTCTCGACCGAGACCTGACTGGACCCGGGGTGTCGACACAAAGCCCATATGGCCGAGCAAGCATGTTCGCAGCTCAGTGGGCTTTGGTTTCCAGCTGCTCACGAGGTACGGACTGTCTGCTCTCCATCAAGGATTGCAAGGGGTCTGCCAGGTATTCACTGAGAGGCTAAATTTCAGCTGGGGCTCAGCACAGCGATTTATTTTGAAGCTGGTAATTCAGGTATTTGATGAAAAACAACAGTGAGCGGTCGGCCTGAACGTGGAGCCACACCTGGGCTGCACCAGGTGTCTTAAAGGGTAAAATATACAAAAATACCCCTTGATGCATTTAGATGCTCATCTTATCTTGCCATTAGCGTCCTCCCCTTTCATCAAGCCATTCATCTCCTTCTCCCCACCCCCAGTGACCAGTCTGGCCCAGCTGCTGGGGGCTACCAGTCCCCCTCCATGTGTGGGGCCAGTCAAGTGGAAAATGGCTGCCACTGAGAGAGCCCACTTTAGAGAGCCATCATGTTTTGAAGGGGCATGATGGCCTTTGACAGCCACAGTGTTAACATGGAGCCCACATGAACGCTGCACCACCATTATCGTGTTTACTAAAGCAAGAGGAGACCATGGAGGCTGATGTTTGGAGCTCGCCCGAGCCCCGCCGCTGTGGTTCTGTGGGTCGAACATGCCATGGGACCAATCACAGCCAGGTGGAGGTTTCAACATGTCAGTGGAGCTTTATCCAACAAGACGTTCAGTGTGTGTGTGGTGATGTGTTGTCCTCTGCCCCGTGTGTTCTTTAATATGATTACGATCAAACACTTTCCAGTTTCAGTCTGATCTCGATGCTAAACAAACTCCCACACACACTTATTCTGAATTACTTGATACAAATACAAAAGAAAATGACGTTACTCTTCCAAACAAAACAAAAACAGCAACATGTGCAAGACTAATAAAAATCTTTTATCCTTAAAAACAAAATCATGCATCTGTTGTTGTTTTACACGTTATTCCATCAGCAAACACATGGTCACAAAATCAGGCTGAATTAATTAATTCAGCCTCATGGAGCATTTATGTATTTAGGCTTTTATGGCCTCTATCAACACGACCACAGATGATCTGATTAAAGGGCCGACATTTTAACTGTGTGGTGCAAACAAATAACAAACAGTGAAATTGTTCATTTTTCTCCAAAGGAAAATAAAAAAGTCAATCCCGGACGAGCCCCCAAGGGCTCGCTGGGGTAGAGGTAGGGCAGCTGACCTGGGACCAGAAAGTTGCAGGTTCAACTCCCCACCATGCCCACATGTCGTGGTGTCCTTGAGCAAGACACCCAATCCCTAACTGCCCCCAGGGAGCCTCCATAGTTGCCCACTGCTCCACCTGGGTGTACCTCACATGTGATGGGTTAAATGCAGAGCACTAAT